CTTGGTTTCCTCAACCATGAAACGAGATAGTGATAGCACCTGCTTTCCTGGGCTGTTGTGAAGATTAATTGATGTTCAGCACAAGGCAAGGATTCCATAAATGATACCAATTTTACTTTTGTTTTGGCTCCACTCTGCCTACCCTCAGGGCCATGGCCACTAAACATGCAGAGTGATGGGAAGAAAAGGAATCAGAACCCTATGCTTCCTTTGGCTGTGCCAGCTCTTCTGACCTATGCGGCTGAATTTGAAGTTAAACTGAGAAGTTTGCACTCTGTAAACCAATCTATGACTTTAACTAGAACCACGGGTGTTTCAGAACAGAAATGGACTTAGAGGCCGTAGATTCTGATCTCCTTCATTTGCAGTTGGGGGAAAATCAGTGAGAGAACATCTCTGCTTCCCTGCCAAAACCAGTGGTTTAAATAAGGTAGAAGTTTATCTTTTCACATAAACATTGGTAGCTTAGGAATGAGATGATGCATTGATGATCAGCAATTAATGAAGGCTCTATGCAGTCTGTCGCCCTGTCCTCCTTAATTCAAGGGTTCTACTTTGTGGTCCAGGGTGGCTGCTCTAGCTCCAACCATCAGAACTTCAATCCAGCTCACAGAAAGGAGAAAAAGAAAAGAAAATGGAATAAGCATTCCATATTGTAAGTACATGAGGATTTACACACCTGAGGATGACACAAGTCATATCCTTTTACATCCCATTGGTTAGAACTTTGTCATATACATCCATAGTTAATAGTGAGGGTACTCAGGGAATGTAGTATTTATTCTGGTGACTATGTGCTCAATCGATTTGGGGGTTCTATTATGGAGGAATGAAGGGAAAATGCACCTAAGGAGACTGTCGGAAGGCTCTGCCACACAGGTGACACATCTGCTTCACCCCTCAATCTGTGCTTTTTTCATAGCACTCACAAGGTTTTTTTTTTTTAATTAAAAAATGGTTTTTTTTTTGAGATGGAGTCCTGCTGTATATCACCCAAGCTGGCCTTCAACTCCTGAGCTAAAGCAATCTTCCTACCTCAACCTCCTGAGTACTGAGACTACAGGTGTGCCACTGTGCCCAGCTCCTTTTGTTCATTTAAAAATTTTTAATTTATTTTAGAGACAGGATTTCACTATGTTGCTTAGGCTGGTCTTGAACTCCTGACCTCAAGCAATCCTCCTCCTCAGCCTCCCAAGTAGTTGCGACTACAGGTGCATGCCACTGAGTCCAACTGCATCACAAGTCTGGATTAAATTTCCCTTAAGTTCTTAATAAAAATTATTAAAACATCTGATCACAAAGATGGCAGCTGGTGAATTCCAGACCCAGACAAGTTGGCTGGAGCAAAGGCACAGAGTAGGGAGAGGAACCAGGCCACATGAATGCCTCTGTCAGCCTGGGCCCTTATGTTAAGGAAGGCTGTGTTGACCCTTGGAGGGCAGAGAAGCCATACTGTTCACCACTGACACAACAGGGAGAAATGAGATTGCATTGTGCCAAGAGAAAAGAACAAGAGCTTCTGGGAAAACTCAGTCACTCGTAAAAATTCCACCTAACTTGGGATGTAAAGTGATGTGCTGCTAAGATGGGTGAGTAGCTCAAGCTTTAGCAGGCAGCCAAAGCAGTCCTAGTCCCCTAAAACAGTGCCCCAGAACTCTGGGCAAAACCATCAGAAGAGGGCCTGACCCAGAATTAATAAAGGGGAGGGATGTGGAGCCTTCAGTATGTTTCAGGCTCTGAGACTTGGTAATAACACATGAGTGAGAGGTGTGTGTATGAGAGAGAGAGAAAAGGAGAAAAAGAGAAGAGAAAGAAAAAGAGCTAAGAGAGAGGAGAGACAGGGAGAGAGAGACAGTGGCAAGGGTGGAAGGAAGGGAGGGGGAGGGGAGACACAGTAAGGAAAGATAGAAGAGGAGAAAAAAAGAAAAGAGAAGAAATAGGAGAGAGATATGGTATAATCTGACTGCTTTCAGTTGCAAGTGACAGTAACCAACTCAAACTGGTCCAAGAAACAAAAATTAACAGAAAGAATCGAAGCAGCAAAAAGGCTGCCAGCAACTCTAGACTTATTCCTGTTTTCCCAGGGTCCCTGAAGGACAGGTGCTTCTCATTTTTCTTTTTTCTAATAGTTACAACAGAAGTTTTGGACTAGAATTTCATTGACACAGATTGGCTGACTTCGAGTCTCCTGACTAGGATGCAGGAATGTCAGGACCAACCAAACCAGGTGGATTAAGAAAGGAGGACCTTGGTTTCTCAAGGAAAATCAATATGCTGTTACTAAAAGAAGGTGGAGTAGATACTGGGCAGGTGAAAACAATGGGTCTCTACTATACATGATGAGAAAATTGGAGAGAAAGAGAGAGACGAGAGAGGAGGAGGAGGAGAGACATGAGGAGAGAGATTAGAGATGAAGATGGGAAAGTGAGTATAAAAGAGGAAAGAATGAAAGATGAAAGAAAAAAGCATTTGCAAGTAAGTAGAAGAGAAAGACAGGTAGAAATGCAGAAAAAGAAAGGAAAAAGGAAGGGAGAAGGGAAGAAAGGAAGGAAATAAGAAAAGGAAAACGGGGAGAAGAAAGAGGGAAAAAAGGAAGGAGAGAATGGAGAAGGAATGGAAGGAAGACAGAGGAAAGGGAGGGAGAGAGGGAGAGGTGTGTTTACCTGCATGTGGACGTGAGAAACACAGTTGAGTAACACAAGGTGTGGGAAGCCTCAGCTACAACTTTATGTCATGACCCGGGATCTCCAAACAGACCAGATCTAGGAAGAGATGAGGTCTTTCTGAAGTTCCTACTCCTTTCCCTCTCTCCTGAGCATGGTCCCAGCCTGCATCATCCTTATCTCACCTGTCTCCACCCCAGTGGTGTCCTGGAGCCTCTGGAGTCTCTTGGGAAATTGTAGAATTGTCTCCCCAATGTCATTGCCATGCTTTGGTCCAGGAACCCAAAAGCTTCAGTCTGCCATGTGTTTTCAGTGTGTGGCTGCCTGAAAACACATCTGTCAACCTTAGCATTGGAGAACAAAAGCTTGGGTTTGACATGAAAGGACAGCAGAGAAGCAGCCTTGACCTAACTGCCATGTGGCATTCCTAAGCTTGCAGAGCCTCAGCCTGGAAGATGTGCACGATACTTGAAAGAAGGCTTTTATCCAGGCAAGAGGGGATAAACACATCTGTATGGCATTGATTTCCCCCTCCCCCTTTCTTTCTGGGATTTGGAGTGGGGCTCGGGGGAGGAACAATGAAAACATTTGAAACATCTGACACTGAGTTGGGGTTGTGGATAGGCAGGATTTGGGGGGAAATGAAAGGTGAAATGCCAAATTTAGTTTGGCTCTTCTTTCTTTCTGGCGCCATTTTTTTCTCTTACATTCGACCCATATTTTCCTTTTAGCACCGGTGGGGGTGGTGGATCATGTAACATTCCTATTTAGCACACACATAGCTTGCCTTGTCTTGAAAGGGAAACACACACTGACAATGGAAACCTCACAATCTCCCGAGTGGGAGACAACCTTAGGATTCTGGCTTCCAGGATATTTATTTTGGTTACTGTTTAGTGTACTGAACCCCAGCCGGGATCCCTTGACGCACATCTGAAACGGGATTGGAATCTGAAGGCATAATTCCTCTGCTGGAAATACAAAGGTTGTAGGTATACAAGAGCACAAAATTACATTTAAGAAGAAATAAGCCATTTATACAAGGGGGAACAAGTATACCCATGTGTCAGGAAGAAAGGGTTTGATACGTTACATTCTGGAATGGATTGGGACGTTCTTCCTGAAGCTCACCACACAGCCCACTAGGACAGTCGGGCTCTGCTATGGTCTAGCAGATATCCCACGGAAAGGCTCAGGGTAGCAGGGCTGTTGCTAGTTGCAGATGAAAGCCAGGTAAGAGAAATCATAGCATTCATCACCCAAGACTCATGACACCTGATACCGTTGATTTGGCTACAAGTTGTGGCAGACCTTGGTTCAAACTCCAGCTGTTCTATCTAGAGCAAGATGGTCTTTGGAAATTCAACCAACCTTTCTCAATTTCAAATTTTTAGTTTTCAAAAATGAGGATGTTGTGAGATTTATATGAAAATATATAGGTAAAATGCTTGATACGGTAGAAACTTAGCAAATTCTAAGTAACCTATATTATTTCCTGACCACATGTTCCCAACTAGTGTGTCGGCTTCCAAGTGTATATATACTAATTTTTTGGATTTCTATAATACTTTAGTGCTTCGTAAACTTACATGGAATTTTTTTTAACCAAGTATACATTGGTTTATTATAAACTGTTTTCCCTACTAAGATCGATTTTAGGGTACCTTTTAAGGAACTCTCCCTTGAACCCTAATCTGTTTTTAAGAAACCATTTGATTAAGATATAAATCACATACCATACAGTCCAGCCTTTGAAAGTATACATTTTGGTGGTTTTTAGAATATTCATAGAGGCATGCATCCATCACCACTATCCAAATCCAGATCATTTCCATCAACCCAAATAGAAACCCTATACCCATTAGCACTCACTCTCCATTCTCTCTCCCTCCCCTTGTAGGTGAGGCAACCACTGTCTCACCACCTCTACAGCTATATAATGACCCATGGGTCTGAAATGGTGTCAACTCGCTCCAAAATGCATATGAATTAAGAAGAGGACACATGCCCCAGGATAGGAAAATTAGGAAACTAAGGAAAAAGAGCTGAAAGGACACTGGATGTTCAGAAAGACAGATACTTCACTTCTTCTCCATGGAATGATCCTCCCACTAACATCTTTGAGGTTTATGTTACCCAGCAGATAGCCACTAACGGTACTGGGTATGGAGCAGCTGAAGTGGGCTAGTCCAAATTGAGATGTAAAATACACACCAAGTAAAGAGTTATGAAAAAAGGGATGTAAAAATACCTCCTTACTAATTTTCTTATAGTAATTACATGTTAAAATAATATTTTCAATGTACTGTATTGAGTTAAATAAGATATTAAATGAAATTCACCTATCTCTTTTTACTTTTTATAATGTGGCTACTAGAAAATTTTAAGTTACATTTGTGGTACATTGTATTTCTGTTGGATAGTGATGCTCTAGATGCTTCTAGATTTGTTTTCAACTGCCTGGTCTCTTGAGATCAGGGGCTGTGCATATTTATTATTTTTTCTTTAGTAGAGGGCCTTGTACATGCTATGCACTTAATACATATTGTTGAATGAATGTTGTCTGCCTTTAATGGTTCCTCATTTCAAACAGGATAAATGCAAACTTCCTTGACAATCTGGCTCCAATATTATATTTCAAACTTCTATCCCAAAGGAGATTGGACCATATCTCCTGGGCTATGTTTTGCTCAAACAGGCCTCTATATTCTTCCTTCCCAGTCCAGCCTGCAGAGACAATGGAGCCCAGGGTACAGGAGGGAGAGGTAGGTGAAAGTATGTGTGGATGAGACCTGCTGTTGTATAAAGATTTGTTCATCTCTTGATGTTTAAGGCCATAGCTTAGAGAACCTTCATTCTTTAAAGAGCTCTAGATTTTTAAGAAATGACTAAGGCATTTCCCTTACTAAACCCAGTCATTAGTCCACATGCAGCTTGGACTTTCCTGAAACTTCTGAAGATTCACAGAGTCCAGAAATGTCCTTGTCCTCCCTTTGGCTTGAATTAGTTCATCTATATTTGGTCACTTTCAGCAAGACGAGTTATAAGAACCAAATAAGGTTGGGTGTAGTGGCTCACGCCTGTAATCCCAACACTTTGGGAGGCCAAGGCAGGCAGATCACCTGAGGTCAAGAGATGGAGACCATCCTCGCCAACATGGTGAAACCCCGTCTCTACTAAAAATACAAAAATTAGCTTGGTGTGGTGGTGTGAGCCTGTAGTCCCAGCTACTTAGGAGGCTGAGGCAGGAGAATCGCTTGAACCCAGGAGGTAGAGGTTGCAGTGAGCCAAGATCACACCACTGCACTCTAGCCTGGTGACAGAGTGAGACTCTCTCTCAATAAATAAATAAATAAATAAAGAACAAAAGAAAAACAAACAAACAAAAAGAATGTAGTCATCGCAGAACCTGGCCCATGGACTGTGTGTGGTAGATGCTGGCCCTACACATGAAAGGTTCCATGGTCCTCATCCATGGCAGAGTAGGACCTAGGACTCAGATCCTTCAGCAATGAGTTCAGTGCTCTTTCTCCCTATGCCATGTTGGGCCATGAGAGAGAAATCCTGAAGTGCTGTACACCCTTTGAAAAAAACACAGTGGTTGGAAGTGAGACAGATGTGGGCACGGGGACATGGCATCTGTTGAATCTGCACTTGTTTCACGAAGTTTGAGTTGTTCCCTCAGACTTTCAGAAAATCGTTGTTGTGTTAATGTTTATTCTTGCTTTCTTTTAAGGAAAAGTGTTTGAGAAGAGTACAACACAGCCACCATTTTTCCTAGGTCAACAAGCACATCTGTGTTCAGACAATTAAGAGTCCTAATGATACACCCCTAATGGTAAAATGTTCCGGGTTACTGACTTCAGCCATGGCTGGATCCAGGTGCTCACATGATTTAATGAGGAAGTTGGTTCTTTCTCTGCCTCTGCCTTCCTTGGCACTGAATTCACTTTTAATATGGTTGGGGGTTTGCTCTTCAGGTGGTCACTGGCAACTCTAGGTTTATGTTTTCACAAATGAATGATTCTTTCTTGATCACACCCCCAGAACTTCTAGGATTAGACCCATTGTCTAATTAGACCAATTAGTCCCTAACTTGGACCCATTTCATCAGTTCATTGTTTGTTAAACCAGTCAAGCAAAATGCATTGATTGCTATCCATGTTCTAGCAGCCACACACTTTTTATGAGGAGCCTTCAAGTATGTTTTTTACTTTTACTTTTTCTTTTTTTCTTTTTGAGATGAAGTCTCGCTCCATCACCCAGGCTGGAGAGTAGTGGCACAATCTCCGCTCGCTGCAACCTCTGCCTCCTGAGTTCAAGTGATTCCCCTGCCTCAGCCTCCTGAGTAGCTGGGACTACAGGCATACACAACCACGCCTGGCTAATTTTCTTTTTGTATTTTTAGTAGAGACAGGGTTTCACCATATTGGCCAGGCTGGTCTCAAACTCCTAACCTCGTGATCCGCCTGCCTCAGCCTCCCAAAGTGTTGGGATTACAGGTGTGAAGGCGTGAACCACTGTGCCTGGCCTCAAATATTAAAATAAATGAATATAAGCTGTATTTTTTTTTCCTGAAGAATGTGTTTTTCAATTTCAATGCCATATTATATTAAGCACTGTGAAGCCAGGCTATGGGAACAATCAAGCTGTTTTTGATGAACCTCAAAATTGCAAATCGAGGTGATGAATGACAGTCATCTCTTTTTCTCTGAGGAACCCAAATGTCCGAATGCACCCGTGTCTGAGGTCATCCTTCCTTTGAGATACCTGCGACGATGACTCCAGCTCCTCAAGTTTTCCCTCTCCAGGTGAGTCTGGGCATCCTTGTGGGAATCCTGGCCCATTCCACACACCCATCCTAGTTGCTGTCTACCTTCAGGACTTCTGCAGTCTTCTTTCCATGAGCTGTTTCTTGCCACTGGTTGGCTTTCAGCTGATGCAGGATGCTGTCATTCCTTCCTGTATAGAAGTATGGATCCAGGACCTTCCCTGTTTCCTATAGTAATGGCAAAGATTGGGCTGTGTCTTTTGACAGAGTTCTGCTGGATGTTTTGGGAGAGAACTACAAGGATGAAAGAAACCTACCTTAACTACCAGACAGAATTGAACTCAGAGGTTCATTTCCTGGGGCTCTCTAAAGGGCTCTCTCTTACCCTGTCCATCTCATCTGCTGCCAACAGAAACATCCTCGAGTGTGCCTGCATCTCTAGGTCCAGGCTCCAGAGAGCGTAGGGCTCAGACATAGAAAGTAGGAAGTCATGCCCACTCAACCCCGGGCCAAGGCTCTAATTTCCCATATCAACAACTGCTTCTTCTCAGCATAAACATATGAATATTCATTCCCTTCTGGGGAGACCTACTTCCTGTCACTACACACAACTTTCCCCTTCAGCCTTCAGTAGACCGAGGTCACTAATACATAAGTCACAAGGTCACTAATACATAATGCATAAGTCCCTATAGAAGTCCATTTCCCAAAATGTGTATTTTCCATCTTGAATAACAGCACAGTGGTATAACAGCAACAGGTCTGTGCTGAGCTGCACCAAACACAGTCCTGCTTCTTTTCCTTGTCTTGTCCTCTGTGAGGGGGACAGATAGGGGCCTTTAACAATTCCTTTGAAGCACCTGTATATTTGATTTCTGATCCTCCTGCAAACTATCCTTTGAAGGGGAATATACCCAACTCTGAAAGAATAGAAAAATGTCTAGCTCCTGTAGCAGACAAAATCCTCACAGCAAAGAAACTTTTTTACCCCTAAAGGCAATAGTATTCACTGAGACATAGCTTAGGAGGTGCTGAGCATCAGCAAACAGGTGTCGAGCTTGTTTACCTAAATGAGACAAGGAAGTATTTAATCTATCAGGTTCCTGACTTTCTCCAGATGTTCTTGCTTTACTTTTCTATATTGTACTAGTCAGTGTTCTCCAGAGAAAGAGAACCAATAGATTTACTTGTTGATTGATTTTATTAATTATGGGAATTGGTTCACATGATTATGAAGGCTGAGAAGTTCTACCCTCTGGTAATCACAAGCTGGAGAACCAGGAAAACTAGTGGGGTAATTCAATCTGAGTTTGAAGGCCAGAGAACTTGGAGGGTAGGAGAGTGTGTGGATATAAGTCCTGGGCTCTGAAAGCCAAAGAGCTTTGATGCGAGAGAGCAGGAGAAGATAGATGTCCCCGTTGAAGGAGAGAGAGAATGGGCTCATCCCCCACTTTTTGTCCTATTCAGGCCTTCTACAGATTGGATGATACCTGGCCACACTGGGGAGGGGAGCTCTGCTTCACTCAGTCTACCAATTCAAATATGAACCTCTTCCCGAAACATCCTCACAGGCATACCCAGAAATAACACTTAACCAATAACGTTAAAATTTAGTGTTAAACGATAATGTTTAAATAATGTTTATAGGGGCACCTCATGGCCCAGTCAGGTTGATGCATAAAGTTAACCTTTACACATAGCTAAAAAAAAATCATTGATACGATTTTCTCAAAGAAAGGAAGGAAGGGAGGAAGAAGAAAGAGAGAAAAAGAGAGGAAGGAAGGAATGAAGGAAGGAAAGAAGGAAAGAAGGAAGGAAGGGAGGGAGGGAGGGAGGAAGGGAAGGAAGGAAGGAAGGAAGGAAGGAAGGAAGGAAGGAAGGAAGGAAGGAAGGAAGGAAGGAAGGAAGGAAGGAAGGAAGGAAGGAAACCTAAAAAATGGATTGGCTTATCTCAAAGGTGAGATCAGGTTTTGGTCAGGTACCTAGCCCGACACACTCAGAGTCTTCCATGCACAATCCTATCTTAACTCTCATATTTTTATCCTCTACTATTAGCCAATGTGTCGTTGGCTTCAGCTAGAACCAGTCCTTCACTCTCCCTTGTATGCTCTGTGCCAATTCAGCCTCACACTTTTGTTTATGTTGTGATACCACTGGATTCCCTCTTCAATTCTGTCCAAATCCCATCTATCCTTCAAAGGCCTAAAGTCAACCTTGTCTAGGAACTCCTCCCCGACTAGCCCACTGGACTTCCATCATGCCTCATTTCTTTCAATGACTTGGACTCATTTATAAGTTTCAATAGGAAAAATGAGGTGAAAAGTCCACTATCTAACTTCATTCTTTTAAAAGAGGGAACCGCGTTGACTAAAAACACCTCGATTTGTCCATTGAGGGTACAAGAAAACTCAAAAGGCATGGGTTTTGGTGGACTCAGAGGAACAAAGGGAGATGGCTCAGTTGCTCAGCCTGAGGGAGAAAAAGAATCATTGCTTTTCTGCTTCTGGTGGGGGAGTGGTGGGAGGAAGAGAAAAAAAGAGAGGTGATGGGAGGAGTTGTGGGGAGGAGAAGAAAGACCAGTGAGATCAGCTGAGGTGGGGCTTCTGAGAGCTGAAGAGCCCCCCGTGGTGAAGGGCCTTTAAAAGAGGGAGTGTCTGATATTCATTGTGAAGTTGTTGGAGCTTCGTTGATGTCATTCCTTTTCTCTGCTTCCTCCATACCTCAAGGGAAGTCTGACACTCTCACAAGAGCTTTGAGCTGGCAGGCTTTTTGTAGGGAATTAAAGAAAATTAAAGGGTTTTATAGCTGGGTTAACAGAGTATGAATCTGAAGCATGGGTAAAGAAAAGCAAGAGTCTGGACATAGTGGACTTTACCCACACTTTGGAGAAATATTTGGGAAAAATCTCTGCGGCGTTCTAGTTGATCGTAACCATATCTCAGGGGCTTACAATGGGGCTTTCCTGATGGCAGTCCCCAGCCGGGTGTACAGGATCTTTTGTCCCAAGGTCCCACTTGTCCAGAAAACTACTCATTTTCTCCCCTTCGTTCTTTCTCACTCTCTATGGTGTCTCCTCCCCGTTTCTTTCTGCCCGTGTTTTATCCTGTCTTATTTAGAGCAATTCGGCTTCTCTCATACTTTTATCTACCTTCTCTGTCAGCACGCTAAAGACCTGGTAATGAACCAAATGATCAAGAGATACTTCCTTCTGGAATAATGGGAAGTAGAGTGCAGAGGAGGTAGACTGAAAATCTTTATAGCTTAATATATTTTTGTACCCATCTCACACTCATCTGTACAAACACATGTATACATACAGGTCTTATTAGAACCTCCAATATTTTAGTTCTCTGACAGTAGGGACCATGACTCTTCCATAAGTACGCTTTCTGTCCACTCAACCATCCAGCACCGAGCCAGGCATGTAGCTAGCCCTTAATCAGTGAATTAAAGAGGACCTTCAGTGAGTTACATGACATCTTGGGAGGAGGGAGGAGATAGGATGGAGAAGGGGACAGGATTAAAATTTATAGAGCCTCTATTGTATGCCAGGCAGAGTACAAGGCACTCTACTTGTAACATCTACGGTATATTTAATGTCCAGTATGCATCCAGCATGCTATGTAAGTTCTTATTTAATTCTCACTGCTGATTCATGTTACTCAATTCCAGAAGTTGTGCATTGTGGCACCCATATTCATAACCATCATGTTACACAGATATCATGAGCACTGTTGCATAGGTGTGGAGTCTGGGGTTCCAAGAAGCATTAACTCCATCAAGTTTCCATAGCTAGATTTTCAGGAACAGAATATTTGCCCTGGTCTTTTTGACTCCATGGCCATGGTCTTTTTCTCTCACTTCACTGCAAAACAAATCTATTTCAACTATTTGATGATAAGATATGTAGGAGCCAGGAATGAGGAAGCCTGTGCTCATACCCAATATGGTATGGAGTAAGGAAAGAATGGGTGGACGCAGGATGACAACTCCACTCCAGCTGCACTTCTCAAGGGAGATACTTTGACATATTTTGTCTGGACAATTTGTTTTTATCATGTGGGAATGTTCTGTGCATGACAGTATATTTTGTATCCTTAGTTTTTGCCCACTAAATGCCAGAAGTCTTCTTTTCCTTTTTGACACCCCCAAAGTAAATACTCACAGATGTTTCCAAATTTCCCTAGAAGAGTAATATCACTATAGATCAAGTCGCCTCCTTAAGTGATTTCCTAGGTCCCCTTTAGGTTTAGTAGTCAGTAACTCTGTGTAGAAATGAATGAATGAATGGTCAGGACTAATTGCAAGCACAGACTCCTTTTATAAAGGCAGGTTTAGATAGGATATTCCTGTGGCCTTGGATTACTTAGCTCACTGGGGACTCAGGACAATGGCCAAATGGAAGTGTGATAACCCAGATGTAAAGGCAGACATCATCTACTCTGCCATTTACCTCTAACCAGACCCCTTCCTGGTGCTTTCAAGGCTGTGAAATGAAGATTCTGCCTGCTCAATGACAGCCCCAAGTGGGAACAGTAGAGGGAGGGAGGGAGGGAGGAGCAGCAACCTCACTGTAGTAAAGTGGAATACCATCGCCCTCCACGCTAATGCAAACCAGCTGCTGGCCGGCCCCAGATTGCGATAGAACAGGCGGAATTCTTGGACACTGAGTTATTCTTAGAAGCATGTGCACAGTCCCCTGGCAGGGCTCACTGTGAACTGGCCATTGCCAGCCCCCTGTCAGGATGCTGTGCCAGCAGACTCAAGAGTGATTGTTCTCGCTTATGAAAAATAACTTTGGGATTTTAATTTCAAATTACCCACAGAGATGGGGCTGGATATGGAGAATATGGTGCTAAGGGCAGAGAGGAGAGTGAGACAAAGGACAGGGAGGAGGACAGGGAACATCACCCATTCATTCAGCAAATACATACTGAGTGTCTGCTGTGTGCAGGTACTGGGGTTCTCACCACACCCAGACTTCCATCTGAACTGGGTGGACACAGGTGAACAGTTGTCTAGACCCTGAGAGTGAACACT